CACGATGGTAAGGCTATAGTAAGGAGTAAGAGTTTTAATATTAAGAGTTTTAATGTTTTGATCAAAGGCTAATCTACAAAAATATTTTTTTCTAAATTTTAAATATACGAATCGACATAGTATGTTTATATAGTATATTATAAGAATTTTTTTCGTAAACTTCTTTATTTGAAGACTTTTTAGGGGAATTCTTTGCATAATAGATTACTTTTGATCAGTGGGCAATGTACTAAAATACTATTTTTTTTCTGAATTTTATACATAAAGACGCAGCAACGCAATTAAAATTAACTCAAGGCAAATTAGTGCATTTCTATTGATTTTTTTTTAAACGTATTTAAAGGCATTTTGGGAAATTATTAGCATTGTAGGTACATATATTTATAGCACTTTTTACTGAAGTCATAAAGCCATCCTACCTGCTGTGGTCAAAGAATTCGATAGAGAGACTGATTATCTCATCATCTGTAATAATTCTTTTGTCTTCATCTGCAACTTCTCCACGATCCTCATTTGATCCATTGGAAGCTGCAGGAAATAAAGCCATGCATGAATTAAAAAATAAACACTGTGTGTACATCTTTAGTTTCGTGTGAATAAAATCATGACAATACTGTGAGCAGAAATGACCGTGTGTTTTATCTCACCATCTACAGGATGCTCAGCATAAAAGTCTCTCCTTCGTTTCATTTCATCTAAGGATGCATGAAAGATGAGCTATTATTTTAACCTCATGTTAACATTTTAAAAGGTCACAAAAAAAACACAGTTGTGCTCAGGTGTGGAGAGTAACAAATTAATTCACAATACATTCACTCACGTTACTATAATGGGGTCATTTTTGTGAGTAATTTGTAATTTATTACATAATTTCCATAAGAGGACATTTTACTTTAACTGAAGTACATTTTGAATTTATTTGGCTACACTGGAAAGGAACCAGATACTGAGTTGAAAATTAAATGTGTGGAAAAACAGTCTGCCATAAAGAAAATCATGTGGGTGTGCGAGCGGGGATTCCCCATTATTTTAATTAACGTAGATAATGTTTAATGAGAGACAGGCTCTAGCATGTCATTGGATGATGGCTGGTGCAGAACAAAAGAAAAATGGAGCTTGAGGATTGCCAAACAGAGAGCTCTGTGTGTCTGTGTGTGTATATATACTCTGGTTGTGCCTTTATCACCTGTTGTAAAATAATGTATCTGTTCCAGACAAGAGTAAAACAGTAGAAGGAAAACAACCAATGAGGAGAACAACTTTTTTTTTAGAGAGAATAAAAAGAAAATCTTGGAGCAGAAGAACGGGGGAAGTTTTCTCTGACCCAGTCTGACAGGTTTTATCCACAGCAAATAGAGTTACACAAAACACAATGTTGTGTGATGACAATAACAAATCTGTCCAGCAGAGGACTTTTATGAACAGTAAAATAAAAATAAAAAATGCCCACAAACTCTCCTGATGTTTTTACACCATAGAAATATCCAATAAAACTCTAATTTAACTGTAAATATTCTACATTTATGGACACATTTGTTGGTGTAGTCTTAATTTTCTGTTCTCAACATTTCATTTTAGTGGTGTGAAAGCTGTGGATGAATTAGAATAAAAAAGAAAGGGGGGCAGTGCATGTAAAATGAGTCAGAACACATGTGAGACAGTCATTATCTTACTTTTGAAAAGGCCGGGGACCAGTTTGTACACGATGTCCTGTAGAGTTTTATCAGACCTGCAAAGAGTAAAGGAACTTCAAGCAACAGCAAGAACAAGTAGAAGAGGTTGAACTTTAAGATGTAAGGCGTTTAGGAAAACAGCTATTTGGCAGAGGGTTGCATTAGATCATTTAGGATAATTTCTTGTGTATATTAAGAATTCAGCTTTAAGCGTATCAGAGGCAGTAATTCAACAAAGGTTGGTACAAAATGTGCTCATAAATACATGTAAATACAGGGAGAATCAAATATGCTGTATTCTGACCTTATGTTGAGGAGAGGCTTGGTCTTGTGTACTTGTACATCACAGATAGGACAGTATTTGCTGGTTTCCAAGTAGCGAACGATGCACATCTTGCAGACTACAAAAAAAAAAAAAAAGTCAAATCACACCAAGTTTAATCTGTAAACATGTATGCAGTGGATACAGAGACATCGTTTCCGGTCGTGTGAACTCACATGAGTGTAGACATTCGATGATGGTAGTGGCGTCTATGAAATATCCTCCACACAGGACGCACATGAGATGAGGATTGAGCTCCGTGATCTTTATCCTCGTCGTTCGATGCATGGTGAGAGTGAGGGACAACGATTCTGCACGGCGTGGAAAAAAAGACGAAAAACACAGAGAGCAAGTCAAAACACAGGCATCAACAGAGGCTGCGGGTCTCCTCTACGTCATCACACCATTTGGGGGTAAAATGAAGAGGAGAGGATGAAGGGGGCAAGTATTTGTTTGCCTGCGTTAAAGCAACATCATCTTTTATGCTAATCCAATAATAAGCAGAGGGGAATGAGCTCGGCGACTTGATTGATAGGCAGGAGCTCTGAGTTCATGTCACCTGACATGGCGCAGGGAACAGGCATAAATCAACGCTGCCTCTCCACGCGGAACATCGATGGAGCTGCACGTTCTTCTCCAGCTGCATGCACTTCATTTTAACATCATCATCATCATCATGTAAACACAAGGCAACAACCAGCCGGGAAACGAGCAAAACCTTTATTATATAAGTACTAAACACGTCACAACACATGACACCACGTTTTGAAACCTTTGTATTCAAATAATATTCAGTCAAGAAAGATGATGAAAGCAAAATAACAATCTGACTTGTAAAAATCAATGCGTCAAAGGAGCAAAAAGAGTCGCTGATTTGCCAGAAAGGAAACTGGGACAAAAGCCGTTAAATCCCAAATGTTTGCTTTTTACCTATAGATGTTGATAATTATGTTTTAACTGATGAAAACAGCACCCCAGTCAAAGAACCTTAAGAAAACAACTGTGTCACAAGTTGCTGATCAACAAATAAAACTTTGGTTTATCTATCTAAAACGGTGACGTTTTAAACGACTTAAAAATACGGATAATCAGACCGCTTCTTCAACGAACGTATTATTCTGATCTGCATCTCAACAACCGATACGTCATCATCACCGCAGATACAAGACAGGAAGTATCTGCTTTGTCCATTACAAAAAATTGAAAATATTCTCCAAAGATATATATATATATATATATATATATATATATATACACACATATATATATATATATATATGTATATGTGTGTGTGTTTAACACGACGTGTACAGATTACTGCTGTTCTGTTTTATCGACACAAAGCCTTAAACCACATAATAAAGCAGCAAAAATAATTAAATATTCTGCACCAAGATTCTTCAATAGATTAAAAAAAACAACTGCGTTTGATTGACGGATCAAGACTTAAATTAACGTGACGTAGAAATAATTATTCAAGGAGATATTTGGATTATAGACATAAAGGATGCTTTCGTGCGTTTTTTGAACTTACTAGTGGAATATGTTATATAATTATATTGAGTATTTTATTAGATTCCAGTGAATGAAAACAGACATTAGAAACCGTCCTGTATCACAGCCTCTCATGAAATAACGGATTTCTTTTACGTTTTCCGCGAAAATAACGGTCACAACCTTCAGGAGTCCGGGCATTTGACATCGCTCTCTTTACTGGAACAGAAACATATATCGCCGAATAACACTTTCCTTTCCTTCATTTAAAGATAAAGACTGCGGGGTAAAATATTTTTAAAAATCCTAACTTTTACAGTTTGATAGTCCTTATTGCCAAGTAAAATGGTCATATGTGAAGATGTGTCACAAACAACTATAATTAATCTTTTTGGGATAAGATCGGAGAAATATTATATACTGTGTCACAGACTGTGAATCTTTTTATTTTAGCCTTTGGCGGAAGCGGTTTCTTAAAATAAATAAACTTAGAATTCGTGTAAACAGCGTTGTTTAAAAATAAGATTAATACTAGAGGGTAGGAATTGACTGAAAAAAATGTGTTTTGAATAGGATAAATGTGTTGATGCTTCATTTTAAACCATCTGGCATAAAACGATTTCTGTTTTGGGTTTTTTTTTTATCCCACAGTATCCTGCTGCTACGGATTATCAATTAAAGAAAAATATATGAAAATTGTGTTTAAACTAAGAAGTTAAGTAACATTCTTTTGACTTCATATTTTTTGCGTTTCTCTGACACAGCACCGTCAAACCAGATGAATAAAAAAACACAGACGCCTGCGTAAACGTATAGGAATAAATAGGGTATGACATGGATTCACCGAAGAAACTTTGGAAACAAGTGTCACATATGACTTTAAAGTCTGTGTCTGGTTCTTTCCGGGTGATGTGCGGGGTAATTAACACGATTTTGCAGCCCGGGGGTCTGACCGTTAGGACAGGAAAAAGCTAACAGCGGCGTCAGGTGTTCTAGAGAGTTCCTGAGCGTTTTCTTTTGTTTATATCTCACATTTATGATCAGCAGTGACTGGAATAAGGCAGTGCGTCTTACCCAGCCGCTGTGCATAGCGGACTTCTCCCGTCTTCTGTCCCTACGTGCTCGGCTCGCAGAAGCCAGCAGCCAACCGACTGCCGGGCTGCCAACTGCACGGCTGCCATTTTGTGGAGGAAAATACAAGACCCGGGGCTTCTAGGGGTTTATACAGAAAGGTGTAGGGGAATACAACAAAAACAGTCCCGTTTATGGGATACTGTCGAACACTTTTACGCTGGGAAGATGGATGTGTGCGTCAGGACCGGTGCAAACATAGGTTTTACCGCTGCTCGCTTTGCGCCGTGTTTTCCACGCGGTGTGCAGAGAATCAGCGCTGCAGCAGGATCAGCTGCGATATTTTTCCACCAATTACGCGCAGACTGGGAATCTGCGCTTATTTAATATGCGCCATCACCAACCCAAGTTAAACACACCTGAATTTATTAAAACTCTATACCGCATTTAACCTTCCTCAAGCACAATCTGCGCTTTCACGCAGCACAGAACCGTTATTCTGGAGCTAAGAAAGTCTAATGAAGAAGATCAATGCCACACTACCAACATGGAGCCGTCTATAACCATAATGTTTAATGAATAATCGATTATTAATGGTATGAAAGAAAGGTTGACCATTCACAATAAAGGCTGTAGTACAATGATTGTCAGTTGCCCATGTGTATTTTTTTTAAACATTGGAAATATAGACGTAAACAACCGCAGTCTAGACAAGTATGGACATCACACATGGACAATGATGGACAATATGTGCATATGTACATGCATGGGAGTCTGTTGCACATTGATTGTCCGATGTTTGGACGATGGTTCTTCTGTGCTGGAGCACACTTTCCAAGAAGGCAACTCCATATATCTAGACAGGCTACATCCTTCACAAGGACGACAACATCCGACTAATCCAACAAACTGTACACATACCCACGTGGTATTTTTAGAATGAACCTTTGTGATTTTATGTTCAGCCATTCTTCCACCGAGGCATGACATTTAGTGGTTTATTTACACAGTGACCCAGAGTCCAGCCCGGTTCCTCTCTTTACTCTCAGTTCCTCTTTAGCAAAGTTGGCCCTAAACAGCAGCAGCTGAAAATAGCCCATTTAAGAAAGACAAGGGGAAAACATCAACATCCTTCAGCCGTAAAACCGCCAATGAAATAAGCACATCGCCCGCTGCAGCCACTTGACATGTTAGTAAACAAAGGGACAAACTCTGCGCCCTGGATGGTTCTGTCAACAATCCTAAATGTTCTGTAACACTGCCACCAGGGCACCGAGGGTGTCAAACTGCGACCCCAGTTGGGGTTTGTATTAATTTTAATCCACACACTGAACACAGGCAGAATTCACACATGATAAAAAAAAAAATTTTTATTTCTCTTCCCGAAGAGGAGAGGTCTGGTTTGTGTCTGTGTCTCCTGCGGGTATTTACACAATCCAGCAGTGTTCAGCACAAGAAGGTGGAAATATGTTAATCCATAATTAGACATTTATATATGAGCACAGATATGAGGAATTTATGTGAAAATGCCGATGTTTCGGTTGGATATGGTGAAGCACAGACACCGAATGAGGCGTTAACAGCCCGGCGACTGTGAACGGTCTTGGTTTATTTATTTTTTTACATTCTCAAAATACCAGCCATTCTTCCTAATCCAGATATCCACACTTGGGCAGACATAAGCGACACGACCGTTTCCTAGGGCAGCAGCAATGGAACATTTGCTGCTTTATGTCACGCCCGTGAGAACGATCTAAGTTAAGTTAATAAAATCCAATCTAGGTCATCCATGCTAAAATCAACTACAACACCCGCTTAAAGACACCCCACACATCCCAACTCTATAACCTGGAGGTGCTGTTTGGAACCAAGGTCACGCCAGGACCGTTTGGAACACTTGCTGCCGTGAACATTCGAGCCAGCGAACCCTGGTTCGCCCGAGATCTCCTTCTTTATCTAAATCCTTACCCCACTACACCAAACCTCAACGTCACCAACTAATAAAATCAGATCGCTGAAAGGTAATACGAGCAAATGTGGGTGTTTATGTTTCATAATTCGCCCGTACGCCCGGATAGGGAACCTTCTTTTGCAAAGAAAGGCGGGTGAAAAGTGGTGCGCGCACACACACACGCACACACACAAGCGCGTACACACACACACATATACTGAGCTCCACGTCGGTGATCGCTGCAGCCACCGTTGAAAGCTCCACATCCACCACTGGATTGAGAGCGTGGAAAAACACAAAGCGCGCCCCTGGCTTTCCACTCCCGTTAGTTAGCGGTAATATAGAATGAAACTTACCTGGAGGCTGCGCCGGAAATCCGTGGGTGTATGAGCGAGGAGACAATGAAAGTTGGGAGGCGATCAGCAGAAAATGAATAGGAGCCGAGTCGCCATCTTGAAGCAGGCTGCAGACGCTGTCAGTGGCGGAGAGCGCACGGCGCAGCAGAGCGCATTTCAGATGTGCGAGTAAAATCTCCCCCTCTCGGCGCCGCTCGTGCGCCTTGAGCGAATCCGATCCGCGGCTCCACAACAATCCAGTTCTCCTCCTTTTGTATGGAGCGGTTTCCTTTTCGGTACCTATAAGTTTGCCTCCGAAACATTCAGCTTCGGTAAAATGCAGCTGAGAGTGTGTGTGTGTGTGTGTGTGTGTGCTCAGTGTAAACTGACACCGTCCCCAAAATGGCTTATAGTTCGACCGCCCCGCTTTGGTCACGTGGTTTGCTTAAGGGTGCTTATGAATTATTGTCGGTGTATGCTTGTTTGTCGTCATCTACTTTCCAAGATGTACAATAAGGCATGGAAAAACGTACATTTGTGCGTGGATGCGTTTAAACCACATAATCTTCTCAGTAGTTGAATGTGTGTTCACTGCTCATAAACACAGAGGCTGCTTTTAGAAACGACTGTCTGTCCATATAATCGGCTCTTTCCTATGTATGTGACGCACTGTTTTTTAAAATAAGCCACAGCAGCCTGCTTCACTTTGTTACACTTTTCATCATGGAAAGCTACGAGCCGAATACTAATGCTTCTCTTCTCCTATCTTTCATCAAACAGCTCAGTGACTAGTGGCTTTTGGTAAACGACTGAGCAGCCGATGACATGCCAACGTCGGTGGAGTTAAAAATACAGGGCAGCCAAATCACTCGCAACGCATTTTACATCCATGTCATGTCCACAATTATTAAATTCCCACATTCTGTCATTTAGTTGTGTGGAAAACACCAGCAGCCTTTGTTTGTCTAATTGTCGGTTGAATATGTGACAAATGGCGCTGTCAAAACTTTGTAACGGGCAACGGGGCAGATGAAGGTAACAATATGCCCAACTTTTACTTCATGAATTGAAGCCCTTATACCTATTAAAAAAATCTCAGAGGTTTATGGAAGATCAGCCTCTTTCGGCGAGGTCCGAACACAGGGGCAGAAGAAGGTGTAGGATTTTTTGCATGGGTGATATTTTTAAAAAAAATAAAACAAAGAAACAAAAACCAGGAGCTCAGTTCGAAGCTTCAGTCCTTCAGCCTTAGTTAAAAAATGGACTCGAAAAATGTTGCAACAAATGCTTCAGGAAACAAAATACACTGCTGTCATACAACTATGGCAAAAATCCTATTCAGGCTGGTTAAGTGCTGACAAAACACATGCCTGGTTACCAGCTTCACAGGCTGCGCGTTTAAACAACAACAAATAAAAGGTTTCACGTTATCTCTCAAGTGTAGAAAAAGACGTCAAGTTGTGTGTTGGTATAAAAACGAACAAGGGCATCACAGATAACTCAGCTCAGTAACCTTTAACAAAATATAGTGGATTTTATTTTTTTAAAACAAATACACGTTAAAATAGTTATCATCGCATACTTTTACTTTTCAATTTCATAGGTAGGTATTAAAAAAAATGTGGCAAAAAGAAAAAGGAAAAAAAGAGAGAGAGGTAAAAAGGGAGGCGAAACCGGACACCGCGGCAGCATCATATCTGACCGGCTCTCTCCACACTTTTGGCAGCGTCTTTTAGCTTTCCCACCAAGTCCTGAAAACAAGTGACCACTCATTAGTGATTGAGACTGACGTTCCTTAAAAACTACTCTGATATCAGAGTATTTAATTAGACATAAAAACAACCTCTTTGTTTTTCATTTTAAATACAGCAAAAAGTAAAGTTCAGTTTAAGGCGTTGCTATGCAACCTGCAGCAAAGTGCAAACTGTTCTCTTGTGATTTATTGTTTTGGCTCATAAATTATGGAAGACATTTCAAAGTGGAATAATGTCAGGCGATCATTTGTGTTATTTGACAGCATGCAGGAATGAAACCCTTGAATACTGTACCTGCAGCTGCTCCACTGTGCAGGTGAAGCTGACATCTTCAGATGAACCCTCCTTCTGACAAAGAGGAAGGAACGTGATGAAACGTGTTTGACACAAACATAAGTGATTTGAAAGAGAGATAGAGATAGATAGATAAGGAGAGAGAGAGAGTGTGTGATTACCTCGGTATTTAGTGAAATCAAGTAGCAGGGCTCGTTGACCTTATTAACGTGTGCGTTCTGAACAAAACAGATAACGATTCACGTTTTTTTTTAAATAGTTTGTCCTATCAGGCATTATATTTAAAATCAACTGACAGTGTTTGTGTACCTTCATGTGGTATTCCAGACGCCATGATACGTCATTAATATGAGGTGCTTGCCTTCCTATGCTGCAAAATGAGAAAAAAAAAGGTGACTGATCATCTTCACCTGACACCGAGGTAATGTGATGCTTTTTTATTCGAATATATATTCGACAAATATCTGACAATCATAATCGTATAACACAGCGTTGTGAGTTCGCAGTATTTGCTCAGGGTCTGATCAGAGGGCACTCTTTGTCTTAAATAATTGGTTTCCCCACAGTTGGACACAGTGAGGCTCCTTCACAAAGAGCTCCTTTGTCGTGGTGCGTCATAACGCAGCATTTTACTTTGCTTTGCATTATTTTCCACGTGTCTCTGGACCTAACACGCAAAGGCAGAACATACTCTTCCACGCTTCTTACAGTCATCTAGCTACAGATACAGATTCCTTCTGCTTCTACAGCCCACGCTCCCCCCTAAACTAGCGGTTTGTTTTCCTGTCAAAACTCTATTTTTTGCTGACGCTGATTCATGCGTGTTTTCCCTCAATACATAACCCTACATAGGTCAAATGGAATCGGAAAAACACACGAATGACAAAAGATGATCAGATCAAATGGATCAGATGGATTTCACCTTTGCAGTAGAGTTAGAAGAAAAAAGTTGCACATGTTTGGTTTTTTTTACATTTGAAAGTCACATCTGCTTACCTTGCTAGTAGACGAGACAGTTCTTTTTTATGTGTCTGTACAAACATAACAGAAATAAGTATCATTTTCGTGTGGCTCACTTCTCTTACAACTACATGGAAATGAATTTAATAAAACAATAATCCAGGCAGCGAAGCTTCACATGTACCTGATACGCGGTATAGAATATTTCTATTCTGTCAGTACTGAATGAAAGGTCCTCAAGGCAGGAGCTGTAAAATCGAAACAACTTATTAGCAGTGAAACGTGTTGCAAGCACTTCATTTGATCCAAATTACATTAACGTAATTCTTTGTCTTGGTATAAGACCTGGAGAGTATAAGGAGAAAGAAGAAAGGTTTCTGTTGGTTAGATGCAGATGTTTGATTGTCATGATTTACATGCATGTCACATAATTTTTGTTGAATTACTTTAGCTGAGTGCACATCAACTTAATGGCAATACCACGTTCACCTCTTATGGAAAGAAAATTAAGAAACGCAACAAAAAGCAACAGACATGGAAAATGATAAAACAAAAAATTTAAACAATTGATTCTTTTAACCCCCCCCCCCACCCCCCTCCAAAAAAAGGAAACACATCGTGGCCATTTACAAAATCTGTTGAATAGGGAGACAACATCCATCCGATTGATTTGAAACTGAGAAGAAAACCCCACGGTCATACATGACAAATGAAATCATGAGTTCATGCAAATAAACCAATGTTTATTATTTGAACAACAATGACGTCACGGCATAAACATTCAAACAACACACAACAATTATCCTTATACCAAATCTCTGCCACACCTGACCTCTGTGTCACACGTATTCTTTATTTTGCTGCGGCATAATAATATTGTCCACCGTCCAATGGAAGACAGGACAACCACAGCAGATTAACTACCATAATATGCTCGACGGTGACAGACTTCCTCGTGCACCTGTCTACCTGTGCACGTCGTTTTGACGTCGCCTACCTGATTGTGGACTTGTCAGAGTTGTGTTTGACGACCTCCAGGATGAAGGTGGTCGTCGCTGTATGAATCTGCTTCAGCAGAATCTGGTCGACCTGCTTCAGCTCGGGCAGATCTGGAACCACAAACACAACAGTATTTAATTGATGATGCAGTCTGGACACAACATCCTCCTGTGGAATAAAACACTCTGGATCTACATGTTCTCCTTATCCTGACGATCCATACTTTGGATCTCAGATTGACGCGCAGAATGGAAATCAATGCTGATTTGCATGAGAATAGCTCCCTCAGCTGCATCAGCCGCAGTGGAGGGGGGGTTCTTTGTTTGTTTGCTCAGTGGACATTTCTCTCTCTCTCTAAACAATTCTGTGCTACAGACAAATTCCTTTATTGTCAGTGAAGCTGCGTAACAGGAGCAAGTGATGGATCTGCACACATGTTGTTGTGAGTAACAGCAGCCATGATGGAGCAGATGCAGCATGTGTCTGTCATTTTTACATAAAGTCCGTCTGTATTTAACGCTGCCCTCCGAGGTGGATCAATAGGAGCAACAGAAATTGCTGCACAAAGATACTACTAATTGCCATTACAGCGAACAGCCTGTCGTGCGTCCATTAGCAGTTTTAATGGTGAATTAAACGGGTCTAACGTGCTCTTCTTAATATGCAAAGCGGACCTGGTGCCAGTTTTAATGACAAAAGACGTCCAGAGTGGCTCTGTGGTAATGTGTCACTGCTCCTGAATGTTAAACAGCCACACCAAAACGGCTAATGTCACGTTAGCGCAGCCGCTTCGCCGCCGCGTTACTGAAACCGTAACACGCACAGACGAACAACTACTTAGGTGAAAACACGAGAAATTAAATCAGAAGATGTGTAGAAACAAAACGAGCATCCACTGTAGCTGAAGCAGCTCCACTACACATCCACACAGAGAGGAACCGGAAGCAGCAGCGAGGACAATAGCGGCGGCAACAGCGAGGAAAAGCGACAGCTCACCGAGGACTCCCGAGTCTGCGTGCGCGGACAGCAGGCTCCGGAAAGTAGCGTCTACCAGCACCTGGAAGCCGCTCTGGTCGACAGAGGACGGTTCCGCAAGCGCCTGTAGCCCTCTCTGCACACACTCAGACAACTCCATTTTGCAAAAGGACTCAACCCACGTGACGGATCAGCTGATGTTGCGTGTGTGGAGGACCAGCGCGGGGGCAGAGAGGCGGTGACGCGCACCGAGGGTGAAGAGAGAGAGGGGCTGAAAATGTGTGCTGATCTGCGGAGACACTGAAAGGACCGAGGGGGAGCAGCGTCCTGGTCTCTGTCCACATCGTCATGCTTGTTCTCGTGGCGCTTTATCCACAGTGTTCCATTTAGATTAGAGAGACAAAACAGGAAAATTAAGCCCGTGGCATCCAAAGTGGCTCCAGGGGCCAAATATAGGTCAGAGGAAAACGGTTTCGAACGTGGCCGTGCACAAGTAGACCCCAGGTGGTGCTCAAGCACCGTGCCCTTGAGCTGCGTTCACCTTTTAAAATGCAATTAAATTATTACCTTTATCCCTAAAGCCTTTCATCATAACAATAAAATAAAGATACAATAACGACGAAAATAAAGGCAAAATCGGGGAGAAACACGCGTCAGTCATATAACACAGACGCAATAGTAATACCTTATTAGCGGTCATACAGTCTGTTCCTTCCTTTAAACAGCTCATGTTTACAAACAAGAAATTGTGCTGTTTTAACAGAATCCTTTAGTGCTAGAAGAACGACAGACGGCAAAACAAAATGAATGAACAAATGAATCCCAGACACATCTGGTACACCGAGAAATAAGAGGAAGAGTGATGAATTATTACCTGTTTGCTGACATTTAGGGAACCTAAATCTTTTTCATATATTTCAAGAATATAATTTGTATATTATTATATATTACAATAATCAAAAATAAAATTAGACGGAGGATTTTAGTCTTCTTTTGCCAAATATTCTCAACATTACATGTGACTTTTTACTTGCAATATTTATATCTCCAGTAAACAGCTGTGTTTTTTCCTTTTTTGTATTATTCTCAGAGGCAGGAAAGTACTCGCTTTTTTTTCTTAAAGCACTCGTTTGTCTGCAATTTTGTTTTACAGGTATTTAAACTGGTTAGATAAATCGTTTAAGTCTTACAAAGTTGAGTTCTTAGATACTTTTTAAATGTGTATGTAAGTAAATGTTCGAGCCATTGTACATTTATGGTAATTTTATGTCATTTGTACATGTTCTAATTACCTGATCACCCCTTAACTGTATTCTACACACGGTATTTATTTCTTTACTCCTTTAAAGTAAATTATTGAATTATTTTTTTAAAGAGACGTCTCTGCATCTCAATTTAACATGGATTTTTTTTTTTAAAACTTTTATCTTTGGTAGAAAGAGGAGATACTTGAAAATGAAAAGGAGACAAATTCAAGACAAATAAATAAAACTGATTTAAGACAAAATATTATACAAATACAGAACATGTGAGAGGGAAAATAGAACTAATCTGTTCTGTTTAGTCTTTAAAAAGGTCATTAAGTTTATTTACAAATGTTATATTCAACATACATAGTCAAAAATGTACTTTAGGGTGACTTGCTCATTTCTTATTTATGCCAATGAGATCAAAATCTATAGGACAATGTCGAATCAAATAACAATATTATGGTACTGAAAATTCCAGTGACCTTTGGGAAATGATGGGCAGGGATTTTTAATTAAACTGTCTTCACATTTGCAAATTAGGTTCTGGGAGGAAACCCATCAAGTTCTGTGCAAAATAAATAAATAAATAAAATAAAAGGCAAATAATTAAGTGCAGATGTTGCTCTCAATACTAAAGAGGAGATCAGTTTTATTAGATTTTAGAAGAACTGATTTGGATCTTGCACAAGTGTTATTTTTAAACCAGAACCATAAAGGATTTAATGATGTTATGATGCAATTCACCAGTGTTAGAAACTCATATTTCATTCTTAATGAAACATTGTAAAAACTGATGACTGATATTCTAAATGCATCACATTCATTGCCTGTTAACAGATTTACTGCAGAGAAGATTGTGATACTATTACTTTTAATTATAGTTTTGACCCTGAGGAGTTGGCGACATGTGAGGTCATCATTAAAACTAAACAGAAGATTTTAAAGCAGACAAAATGTACAAGGAAGTTCTCTTAAAATCTCTTAACAAAATGAAAGGGAACACTTTTATATCAGAATTGCTTTTTGTTTGTTTTTTTCTATGACAGCGCCTGTAGAAACCTGTTACTGTTACAACAACATACTTACAGTATTATCATGTGTTGTTGGGTTCAAGAGTTTCAGAATGATTCATATTTTTTTCTAAAAATATAGTTTTCACCTGGATATGGACAGGAAGCTCTTGATTTAACCTTGAGTTCAGTCATGGCATTAACTTTGGAGACAAGCTGGTGTAAACATAGACTGTGCTTGGTGCAACATGCCCTTGTTATTTCAGTCTGATGCATGCCAGACAGTGAACATGTTCAAGTATTTGGGATAGGAGGAATACTGGCTGTAAATAAGGCAAAACAGCTGCAAGGATAGAAAGATAATTTGGTAAATATCTGATAAATTGTTCAATACTCTTCAAAATTTGTTAAAAACAGTTAAATAAAGACAGCAGTTGTAAACAAGAAGAAAGCAAAAATATAACTAAAAATATAAACTGCCAAATTGTAATCAATGTCATTGGTCTAACGTTTTGTTTTATTTAACACATTAAATATATTGACAAGTTTTGCAAATTATCTAAGTGGAAAGTGTCCAAATTGTCTTCTGAAGTATAAACAATGTTAGTGTGTTTTGCCCTATAGAGCAAGATTTACTTACAATTTGAAACGTTTGAAAAAAATCCTGTATTTATGATTTTTAATCAATATAAAGTCAGTGAATTTAATTTTTTTTGTAATTTGTCATGGTGCACAAAAGTTTTAAAAATATTTTTAACCCAAACCCACCCTGTGCCGTTTTATTTTTTTATTTCATTTTAAGTTTTAAATATCTATTAAATAAACATTGCTTTTGAATGGACAGCTAACTTTCTTGCCGAAATAATTATAACCAATCTAAACGAGTCTAGCTGTTGTATATTTAATAACTGCTTTTATACAGTGAAGAATTTCTGCAGACGAATATTTCTTGTATAAAACATAATTTCCCGCCACTGTGACATCATCATTAGCCTCCGCGTGTGTGTGTCGTGCAGCTCGGCCACACACGCTGCAGGCTGCTATCACACTGACCTCTGACACTGCGCTTTGTCCAAAGTCCATTCCGGCTGCAGGTCGAGTTGTGAAATAGATCAGTCTCTCTCTCCCTCTCTCTCTCTGTCTGTCTCCCCTCTCTCTCCCTGACACCGAGTGTTTGCCGAGCTATATCTTCCCTGTTGCACATTTAAGTCTTACGTCATCTTTTTGGCGTACATTCGTGACAGTCTGTTTTCCATTAATCACAGTATCTTTGACACCGAGTGTTTGCCGAGCTATAATTAGCTTTCTGAGGCTCCATTAAAAAACACGACCCACCCGCCTGTAGTCAAATGAAACCAATCTGTCGACTCTAAAAATACTTACTATCAAAGTATCAAAAGAGTACGGCTGACCGAATAACAGTCTGTCTTCTTCTTCATGCTGTTCCCTTCACGGTCGTCACAGAATAACAAAATAACCCTACAATGGTTTATCTATAACGCGTCATTCCTTCGTCCCTGTAATCTGAAATCATTCCAGGCTCTTGATCATATCTGTAAACTTTTTATTATCCTTTTTATACTTTATACTTTTTTTTAATCGGGACTAGGATGACTTTTGAACTCTGATCATATGCCTATCTTGTGTTTTGAGGTAAAAATAAAAACTGTAGCTGCAGCAAATCCCAATTTTGTGATGACGGTTTTTCGATAAAAGTCTCCCCCAGAAAAATTCATAATAACGGACTTGTCTTGTTTTCTCTCTTCTATGTTTCGTGACTTAATATACAAGAAGAAAATCGTTTTGAAGTGTTTCTGGTTAGTGACAGCAACAGAACTGTAACGTCATAACATCTATGTTAAAAGAAACAAACCAATCAACTATCAGATTAAAATACTTTGTTTAAATGTCTCGATCTATTTGTTAACATGGTTGTTTATATATGTATATAACATATATATTTCACTACGGTACATTCTTACTATGACTACTACAATATATAGTGCATTAATCGACCAAACTATGAAAAACAATTAATCAATCGGTATAAATCTAAAGACGTTAAACATGCGAAGATAACCTGATTCTGCCTATCAGTGTTTCATATGTTGTCATATGTTTTTTAAATGTTAAATGTTGTTGTAATGCACAAGTTAAAGTATGTTAAATATAGATTTATTGTCATCTAACTAAGCCTTTCTTTAGAGTTTCCTTCAGGAGGAATCACAGCTGACAACTTACAAATGGCCTACAGTTTAGTATAAAAATGACAACAAAAGACAACTTTTGAGAGTTGTTATCCTTACTTTTTGACTACGTGGATGAAAAAACCGTAACATTTCTTATCGTTAATGCTCGAAATAAAAACTTCACTTACCCAGAGGGAATAACCGTTGACAGTTGGATAAGTTTCAGTGAGGTTCGGCTGCAGCACATTTCTCTGCAATTTACAAAAGCAAAGGAATATCTGTCCAGTAAAGTCGTTATTCATTGTTTATTTTATTTTTTAAATAACCCGGGGTGGAAAAACACAATAAAACGTGTTGCATATTTTTCCACCGATGCGTTTAATGTGAACATGTTATGCATTAATCTTCAAGAACGTCACATTAATCCCAATCCGGGCAGCATTATATATGTTTCCAACAAACAGATATAATGTCGTTCAGAAGTAGGATCTGTTTTACAGTCACCGTACGAATCCGCCGTACTAATCCGCATGTCTCTGTATTTTCTCAGAAACTAAGAGAAACAACATGTTCCAGAAGTACTGTAGCTTTAAATTCAACATTTACCGCCCGCCCAGAGTCACATTTACACAAAATAACAAACTTAACGTACTTGTACTATAATACTTTTACATCTTATCTACTGCACTACACAAAAATGTGAATCTTATATCTTATGTTACTGCATTTGTCCTGTCGTTGTTTCCTCATAATCTCCAGAGACACAGATTTACAGAGTTATAATTAAACCTTCATTAATCATCAAACGACTTTCACTAGAAGCGGGCTGTGCAGGGTCAGGACCCCACAGTAACAATGAAGACCCCAGGAGGAAGGATCAACCAAAATCACTGCGATTCGATCATATTATTGTTCAAACGCTGCACTGATTTAATCCAGTAACTCCAGATGAAAAAAACAAAACAAAAACATTAACAATAATATCCCCTGCAGCTCACGGATACTGATGGAAATGTGTTTTTAGTATGTAGCTATTTCTGTTTTAAAGTTATTAAAATGATTAAGGAGACCGTAAACATTGGTTTATACATCTGTTAGACAGACAAACAAACAAACAAACGTATACTCACAGAGAGAGGGGAGGAGGTGTGCAGAGGGGGCAGATGTGCATCTCTTCCGGGTTTTTTTCCTAACTAGTTAATGTCTAACCCTAACTTTCATCCAAATACAACTAACATTTTCTTACATTTATTATTTATTTATTTCTCAATTCAGACACCGGGACACTGAGGTTCTGCCTCATTAGGAGCAGGTTTTGGTAACAATGCCAGAGATCATCTGAAGTAGGCGTGTGCGCGTGACTGTGTGTGTGAATATTTGTATAAATGCACACACACACAATTCAGTGTGTCATTTGCTCTGTAAGTTATTTAAAGGTCATTTTACGGCAGATGTGAAAGAGGTGAAAATTGCTTGCAGAAAGATTTTGCTCCTAATGGAAATGAAAAAAGAAAACAAAACAATCTTTGCATTTTAATATTATATTAAATATCTCAGATGGGCAGAATCTAATCATGTAAAAAGTTAACATTACTTGGCAATTAAAGTTTAATTTAAAAAAACACTGCATTAATTATCTTGAGAACAACAGATGTTTTGTGTCCATCATTTTAGAGAAAAACAAAGGAAACTTGTTCTGCACAAAAATGTGGCTTCCCCATTGCAAGTCAGATTAAACCAAGAAACACCAGAGTGTAACATCAAAAACATTGCTACAGTTGGGTTGCAGGTCAATTTTACACACAAAATTGCTTTGAAAAGTGGACTATTACAACTGGGAACAGACAAAGACGTTTCCCCCCAGACGTTGAAGGAAAATAACCAATCATCAATTAATATACAGAAAATAATTCAAAAGCTTTCAGAGTCATTAAATATTTTTCAAAAAGCCATAATAGCTTATAACGAGTACAAACGAATTTTAACCAAGAAGTCTGTCAGTAAGTAGATGCAGGGAAACCCTCAGCAAAATTGAAGGACAAATTAAAGGTTAGCTAAGAGTTGAAAAAAAGGAAGAACAAAAAGCAAAAAAAACAAACAAACAAACAAAAAACTGTAAGTAGAAAAAATCTCTGAGAAAAACTTTTTAAAATGACTAAAATCTATATAGTGATAGAGATGTGTAAGCAAGAACAGCTACATGTTGTTGTTAAGACTTTCTGAAGTGTTTGAAGTGTGAATTTAGCTGAAACAATAGAAGTTTAAATAATAAATGATGTTTCATGTAAAAATAAAAATATAGTTCTCTTTATGAATAACAAAACAATATAAGTCACATAACTAGTCCAAGTGCCATGAGCAGCCCCTGGGCCACACTTTGGGCACAAAAAGTATTCAGTTTCACTCATTTAACTCATTAAATCTGCTCTAGTCGTAGGTTCAACAACTACGCACATTGCAAAACTTAGGCTGGCGTTTTATATGTAAAAACTACATTAGGAGATCTCATTCTCATTCATTTCTAAAGACGACGTCAATTAATCTATAAACGCAGCAGCAGCAGCCTGATTCAGCTGCATTAAAACAAGATGTTTGTAAGAATGATTGATTCATTAGACATGGCTGCAGGGTAAAAGATGCCCCGCAGAATAAGACGGCCTCTTATAGAATCTATAATGAATGTCTCTCAGTAAAGAGCCCCGTTAATGAGCATATTATATACAAAGATAATTAAATTATTGTCCTGCCGGAGTCTACAGCACCGCTGTGTGTGGGAGCAACAAAAAATAATTAGTAGATAAGCGGGACCGCATCCTTTAATATGATAACACATTCACGTACTCCTCCTCTTCTCTATTCACCCTGTAAAGGTCAGCAGTGGGTCAGTGTCTTGCTCAAGGACACCTCAGCAGACCGCGTGTGTTGCGTGTTATTCGGTCTGACTATGACTCCTCTCTCTCTCTCTCTCTATAGTTCCAAGATGGCGCCCGCTTCAACGAGCGTCATAGTTGTATGGAAATGTCAAAATGCTAAATTTCTTTTGTTGGAGAAAATTCTCCCCAAAAAATGAATTAAGGCGGCCGGCGACGACAAAGTGCACGCGCACACAGTCACGCACGACTCCTTGACCGCTAGGTGGCAGTGGTGTCTCTCTCCCTCCCTCTCTCTCTAGGAGGGATTCATCCGAGGCGAACAAAGGGGGGGGGGGGGGGGGGGGGGGGGGGTGTTCGTGCGTGTGTGTATTTTAAGTGCGTGTATAAGAGTCCCTGATAGTCGTGTGTGTGTGTGTACATTTTCTGGCACACATACTGACCTTTGAGAACCCGTGGATCTCAGCGAGGAGCGCAACCTGGTCCTAATAAGACATAGTGCTGTAGCCAGGATAAAAAAGGGAATATAAACAGAATATTGTTTAGATCAGGGATAAGATTAACATATACCTAAACACACACATATACATACACATACATATGTATATATAGATAGCTCTATGTGTATACATATAGCCATACCTATAGACGCTGAAAACGTACATGTATTTTGTTTTTGTCATAAATGGTAAGGTATACGTCATAAAATCCTCCTTTTAAACCTTATGGATGCATATTTAAATAAAGGGTTAATTTGATTTTGAAAATCAAATTAATAACACACGAGCATGTTTTAATATATATATTTCATATATTTTCTTTAGTCGAGTTGCAATTCGGCGTTACTTAAAAATTACGTAAACACTCAAATGTATTAAAAATGGAATTGTACTGAAATAATACATTTTATTATATTTGCATTTTATTTTATTTTTGGTAGCCAACGTAGTAATTAAAGACCTATTGTTTGTTGTCTGAAATTTGTCAAAAAGTGCCAAATTATATCCGTAGTCCTGTATTTATATTTGATATTTTATATATTATTTTGTGCGAGGGGAATTATGATATAAAATGCTGCGTAAATGTCGAGTAGAGCCGATGTTTCCTTCCTCGGCTCACAGCGGCAGCTTTTCCTCCTACAGCCGGTGAAAAGCAGCCTCCTGTCG